TTGGAACTTTATATCTGTAATGTTGAAAAGAATATTTAAATTGTTGACTCGTGTAATAATAGAGTAGAAAATTTGTTATTAATATGCAAATAGCTTGTATCATTGCGTTGTTCAGTGAAACAGATATACACTATTTTAGGATTAAGGTTTAGTTCAGCAAAACGAAACTTTTATCATCCTGGTTTTATGCTAGCTGAAAATCTGGTCAAACGATATTTGTGATAACAGATGTAAGCAGAAATGTTTGAGTGAATATTTCAAGTCATAGTTTTACTCTAAGTATATTACATTTCAGTCGATAACAAAGAAGCACGTATAAAGGTTAAGAAATGGGGCAGCTTCGATGGAATGGTTGTTTCAACATATCATGAGGCCTGTCTGACAGTATGACCCAAAATTACCCCAAAAGATTTGCATTTAAAGTCTACTTGAAACTAGCAGACATGTCAAGCATGAGCATTTCTCAGGGATTTATCTCACTACATAGAATGTTACCCTGCTGCAGCAAAACCTGTTAGTCAGCAGTCAGTGGAAATTAGGTGGAATGTCTGAAACATGCACAGATCACTGCTTCGAGTCCTGCTTTTATGTCATTTTAAACATGTTTATAGTGTACCACATCTTAGTTAAATCTTTTTATGAACTTTCTTAATCGATTGGATTCTTAGATAATCAAACATTTAACAATCTGTGCTCTACCTTTTTGCTTAAACGAAAATTAACTGAATATCAGAGTTCCTGTGTTTAGCTTAAATATCAGGCTTCATTTTTGTTTCTCTATTTTTCGGATAATGAAAAATAAAGCTGATTTGGGCCTTTACCAAGCTTTTAAGTTTATATATATATATATATATATATATATATATATATATATAACCAAGATATAATGAAAACCAGAAAATGTAAACATTCAGACATTTGATTTTTAGTATTTGATTATTGGTTGGTTTATAAATTGTTGTTCATCTTCATTTAAATCAAACAGATTATGTGGAACACCGTTTATGTAAAGCTGCAGTTAATGTTTTTCATTCCAAGTTTAGTACAAAACCTGAATGAAACAAAACATCTGTCAGACACAGTTTGACACGGTTATTTTAAAGAGTTATTTTGAGAGGTAGTATTTGTCATTTGTATCCTTTTTGAAGATTGCCTTGTAATTACTTCATTTTTGTTGAATTTAAAACATTTTAAGCTTTCAAAAATAACCTCCAGCACATTTTTTCCTTTGTCTTATGGTTAATTTATTAGAAAAATAAAATTGAATCAATCTAAATTAGTTACCTAAAAAAAAAAAAACAACAAAAAGATTTTTGTATCAGCCTTAACATATTTCTTTAGGTTTGAAAAGAAAACAAAAATTTTGTTCTAATCCAGATATGATGTGATTACTTTTTACATCAAAGTGTGTTCTGTTGGTTATTGGAACTTTATATCTGTAATGTTGAAAAGAATATTTAAATAGTTGACTTGTGTAATAATAGAGTAGAAAATTTGTTATTAATATGTTTTTCTCTCCTGCTATCAGGCAGCTCCTGTCCTAGTGCCTTTGCAGCTGCGTCTGTCGCTACAGTGCAGCAGAGGAAGCTGCACCATGCCGTCATCCCCAAAGGGAAAGGAGGACGCTCATCATCCAGTGGAATAGCCGCCACAGTGTTTGGAGCTACAGGTTTCCTGGGACGTTATGTGGTCAACAGGCTGGGTGAGGGTTTGTTTTTTGTGTGTGTGTGTTTGTGTGGAATTACAGACCTAATAGTTAGCAAGTTATTGTTGAGTGGTTTTAAAGTTCCCTGAATGTTGTATGGCTCTGCAGGTCGGATAGGATCTCAGATTATGATCCCCCACCGCTGTGATCAGTATGACCTCATGCACTTCAGGCCCATGGGTGATCTGGGGCAAATCCTTTTTGTGGTAAATAGCATTTAAATACATTTACAGGCAATATTTGATTGAATTGTTGCTAAAACTCTTTGTGGTCATCTGTGTAAAAGGAGTGGGATGCAAGAAACAAAGAGTCCATCCAGCGGGCCATCGAGCATTCCAATGTGGTCATCAATCTGGTGGGCAGGGAGTGGGAAACGAGGTGAGTTAATCTAGAAGTAAAAATTGTCAAAGGTGATGTTTAAAATGAATTAAGCAGTTCTGTCCTCTTTCTTGGTGAAAAAAAGGAACTACCGCTTTGAGGACGTCTTTGTCAACATCCCTCAGCAACTTGCCAGGGCAACAAAGGAAGCGGGAATCACTAAGTTTATCCACATGTCGCACATCAACGCCGACATCCGCAGCCCCTCCAAATATCTGAGGAACAAGGTTTGTGACTGGTTCTGGACCCTTAACACCAACTTACACTGGTCTGTCATATATGTGCCTAGTTACATTTTATGCCAAAGCTGATTTTTGCATAATGGCGCTGTCAAACTTTGGAGATTTAGCTGACATATGCCAGCATACAAAAAATTTGGCAAATTTGCTGGCATACGTTGGCTAGGTTATGGTTAAGTTTTGTATAAGTTATGAGCACGTTGACATACTGGAAGTACATCAAGAAATTTTGATCAAATTTTAAACATATGCCAGCGTATGCTCATACGTGGGCCAAAAGTTACAAGTAAGTTATCTGATTGTTGACATACGTTGAGTCTAAGTTACTCATAAGTTGTGGCGTCTAGCTTATCCAAAACTTATGAGTACTGTGTGTATAACTTATGCGTACTTATCAAGAACTTATCTCTAACACATATGAACGTATTTGACATGTTCCAGACGACCGCTGAACATGTTTCTAACTTACAGCTACAGTATAATGGCATATTGGCAGCGTTTTGGTAGAAACAGGAGGAAACAATCAGTTCTCCTCCAGACTTCCTCACCATCGTAGGGTGAAGGAGAAGGTGAGTGTGATGGATTCTTCCTGCATTCACGGCCAGGGCCAACAAACTTCCTATCAAACAGGGTGTTGAATGTGCTGTGACTTTTTTTTTTTTTAAGCTTTTTTATTGTCATTGCACAAGCATGTCACGAGTACAGAGCAATGGAATTCACTCCCTGAATTGCCATTGTGTGACGCCTGGGTAGCAGTGTGAGCTGAAGGATCTTGCTCAGGGACCCAGAGCGGCAGTCTGTGGGAATGGGGCTTGAACTCAGAACCTATGGAACTCAAATGCAATGCCCAAACGATTAGGCCACCACTGCCCCAAACTGTAACCCCCTTTTTTTTTTTTTTTTTTTTGGCAAATCTTCTTGTGCTTCATTTGCAGGCCGGGCGCCTCGCTGCCCCCTTCAGGACACTGGCTTGTGCATCATTTCATGGGGATTACGCTGCTGTGCGTTATGCATAAGTTAGGCTGTAGTTGGACTTAAGTTTTCGACTCGTTTTGAATATTCTATGTATATGCCCAAAATGTAAATAACACAAAGAAAGTTCAGCGTTTTAGAAGATTCTGGGACGTCAGCCATGTCTAAATCATCATCGTATGACAGTGACCAAAACCTGTTCTCTCTTCTCTTGCCCCAGGCTGTAGGAGAAGAGGTCGTTAGAGAAGAGTTTCCTGATGCTATTATCATGAAGCCAAGTGAGATGTTTGGCAGGGAGGACAGATTCTTCAACTATTACGCAAGTAAGAACACTTTGCGCTTAAGTCATTGACTAATTACGATGTTTGTGTGAAAGTAAGCATATAGAAACACAGTTAAACAGCTACAATTTCACAACCTTTGCCATATTCTCAGATATGCGCTGGTTTGGCAACGCTATTCCTCTTCTGGCTCTGGGAAAGAAAACTGTGAAACAACCGGTTTATGTAAGTGCTGTTTACGGAAGATGTATTTTTTCTTTCTTCTATTCTAATATGCAATATTTTGAATTTTGCAAACAAAGTGAAAAGCCTCTACAGCAATTCAAGAGAAAGCCTTAAAATCTTTTTTAAAAACTCATGAAACAGACCTAGATCAAAATCAGACTTAATTTAATATTTTGCTGAACAACCTTTTGATGCAATTACTGCAATTAAAAGTTTCATCCAAGTGTTAATGAGACTTCTGCTCCTTTCAGTTGGTATTTTGGCCCACTGTTTATGAGCAAACCTCTCCAGGTGTCTCAGGTTTGAATTGTCCTTTTCCAGGCTGCATGTTTCAGCTCCTTCAAAGATGCTCAATAAGATTTAAGTCAGGGTACATTGGCCACTTGCACATTGCTCTCTAGAATCTCTTGGTAGTCTTCAGATTTCATTGTGTAGTTTAGGACATTCCAATTTGTCTTTTTTACCCCCGCCAAGAGGTTATATTTTCACTTGAGTTATTTAAAGGGTTATGAATGCATCTTAGTTAAATTTTTCCCAGAGGTGCGTCTCATGCAAATAAGAAAGTTCCTTAACACTAGAACTCCCAAGGCAGTCATTTTGACGGTTCTGAGATTTTAAAAGGGAAAGAACTGTATTTAAATTAAAATGAATGTTGCTCATGTTATTTGACTTTTTCTGTGTCTATATTTCCTTAATTTTCACATAGTTTTTTTTAATAAAATAAAAAATAAAATATGGTTAATTTTACCTCGATCTCCCACAGCCGTCATTTTGACGGCTCTATTAGTTGCATTGTAAATTCTTCCCGCGGTTGATTTACGTTCGGTACCATTGCCTAGCAACCAACATTCCACCTAGAACTCTTTGGCTAATATGGAAGAAACAGCTTTCAAAAGTAACCTAACAGCGAAACAGGCTTTAGAAATGCTTCAAAAATACTGATGATAGCGATTCAGGTGGATAGGGAGAGACCGATTAGGAGGAGTTGGTAGGAAGCGGCTCAGATTCTGACAGCGAGTCAGAGGATGATCAATGCAGACGTATCAGTGACCCATCAGACCAAAGTGAAACTTTTGTTCAAGCAGTGCCCACGCCTCAGCCGGTACACTCAGCGACCCAAAAGCCAAACCAGAGCCTGTGGTCTACTATAATCACACACAGGTCGGTGTGAACGTGTCAGATCAGATGATTAAAAAGGATTCTGTAAAAGCTCCGACGCAAAGGTTGCATGTGGCTGTCATTTACAATCTCCTGAAAATAACAGCTATAAACGCATTGGTTTTGTTCAGGAGCTGCTTGAATGTCACTTTTTCACGCAGAGATTTTATCCTTGAACTGGTAAAACAGTTGCGGGCAAACAGCAGGTTTCCAGCCCCTCCGCCCGCTGAAGAGCAGTGTTGGCGAGGCACAGAAAACAGCGCCAGGAGCTTCAGCGCTGCACAAAGAAATGCTCATATTATGTTTCTCATAAATGTGAAAAGGTGGTCTAGGGGAAATGTTTGGGGGGAATCAATCAATTTCTGTAAATAAAATCGTAATTTCAACCTTTGAACCTGTGTAGTAAAACAGTCTTACTCTACGGATTTATTTTAAATACAAATTTAGAACACAAATAATGTATATATTAGATTTATTTTAAGGTTTACATATCCACAATGGGTTTATATCGCACACTAGAACAATTTCAGTTGATGACATCATCACTACTTCACCTTTTATTTCATTAGACAGTTTTTTCTGAGCTCTTTTGTTATCATATATATAATCTATCTCTTTGCCATCAATGTTCTCCTGCTGCCTCTTCCAGGAAGGTTGGCTATTGTCCCATGGATCTTAGATGTCTGAATAATATGTTCAACTGTAGTCACAGAAGCATCAAGATGGTCTTAAAACCTTTATCTCAAATGTGCTTGTCAAGTTTTTTTTTAATTATTATTCACTTCCTTTGGTCCATGTTGAGTGTGGTAATCAGTTTGATTTTTAGAAGCAGCAAATGCAGATGTTGGTGATGTCGCTAAGCCTAGTTGGGTAATAAACCTACTGGTACGGATTCTTTCCCCCCTCTCAGGTGGTGGATGTGGCCAAAGCCATCGTGAATGCCATCAGAGACCCAGACGCTAACGGGAAGACATACGCCCTTGTTGGGTAAGTTAATGACGTCGAGAATCAAGAATCCACCTTTCGTATTCCATTTTCAGAGCTTTTTAAAGTGTTTAACAGAGACGTTAGCACCTCGACGTCGAAGTACACAGAGTGAAGCGAAAAGACTACAACTGTGTAAACAGGCCCCATTTCCATTTCCGGTGGCAGGGGAATATTGACTATTCCTACAGAACTCAATGGGATTTACAAAATGCTAAATAAAACACTACAGGAACGTTTTTTCTTTACGAAACT